CTTTGTCTGTATGTATATTCACACACCAGAAAGAGGGTGTTGGATCCCACGGGACTACAGTTGCGGAGGTTGTGAACTGGCATGTGTATGTGCTGGGATTGAACTCAATGCCTCTGGAAGAGCAGCTGGTACCCTTAACCCCTGAGCCATCTCTCCAGCCCTCATCAGCAAGTGACTACTGCTGGTACTGAATAGCGTGGTAACTAGTGCAAGTTGGTCTTGTTTCCCAAGTTCTTCCAGTTTCCCCACTGTGTTAACACAAGAGAAAGGAGGGAGAGATGTTATGAAAGTATTTTGACCTCATCAACAACCCATTTATGAGGTCTTGGGGACCCAGAGGTCTGTAGTCCCTCTCTGACCACCACTGGCTTATAGACCAGACAGGATCTAATTCTCTGTCTAATGGTGACCTTCTTGTGACTCACACACGGATGGAGTAAGGGGGAAGCTAGACTAAATATGACTCTGTAGGCGAGGAGGAAGTGGGAGACATGGAACGGACAGCAGAGACTAGCCAGCACGGGGGCTCGAGGCTTCCTAAAGTGTGGCAGAGCAGGTGCAGGAAGGCTGTCAGAGCATGCTCTCTTTCTGAGGGATACTGCGTGGGCGTGGCAGTGACAGAGGGTCTGAGCCAGCTGGGAGATAGGGCTCTGAGTGGAATCTGTGGATGAATGAGAAGGCACTCAACTGTTACACATGGAGAGCTCAGGGGACCGTGTGTACAAGGTCCTGTGGGGCTTTGTAGAGAGTGAGGATGGCAGAGACTGAGAGAACCCCTTGAGCTTGTGAGCAGGGTGTTGAGGGGAAAGGTCATGGGCCGGGAGGAAGGAAGCCAGCCTGTTACATGGCGTCCGCTGGGACTCTGAACAGCTGACAGATGCTGCCATGTCCTCTTTACGGCCATCTTTTGCATGAGGAAGCTGAAGGGACCTTGCCCTTCTGTCTCGGGGTATATTGGGTGATTTCAGCAGGAAGACGTTGGTTCCGATGCTGAGGGGGCAGAAATAGATGGGTAATGGTACTGTTTTCTTTCCTTTCCTTTTTTTTATTTTTAAATTTGTTCTTTTTATCTTTGGGTGAGAAAAGCACACAGGTTGATCTAGGAGTCTACAAACCAAAGTGTTCCAAAATCTAAAATTTGGATGCACAAAAATATTTCAGATTTTGAAGCATTTCAAACTTTGGGCTTTTGGAATAAAATCATAAGCCAGCAAAATCTATGAAAATGTTCCCAAATCTGAAACCTCTTGGTTCCAAGTATTTTGATCCTGGGCACGCAGCCTGCGGTTGTCTTTAGGATGAACAGGGTTCTTGCCCATGAGTGACTGTGATGAAGTCCCGGGAAATTGCAGTGAACATATTCATGCAACATGACTTTGTACCCCCTGGGTTCTAGCCCACCAATCATGGCTTGGGAGGTAGAACCGTGGCCTGGGGGAGTACCACTCCATAGACTGGAAGTCAAGGATTTGTGAGTTGATTTTCATTTGTACCACCTGGCTTGGGAGGCAGAACCGTGGCCTGGGGGAGTACCACTCCATAGACTGGAAGTCAAGGATTTGTGAGTTGATTTTCATTCGACAAATGAAGCCACAGCTGGTGGCTTAAGTGCCAACAATCACAGCACTTGAGAGGCTGAGACAGGAGGTTTGCTGTAAGTTTGAGGCTAGCCTGAGCTACAAAGTGAGGCTCTGTCCCAAGAACAACCTCCGAAGTAGAGTTTTCCCTTTTCTTCCCTTCCTTCCTTTTTAAAATTTTAATTATTGGTAAATTAGGATTTAGTGACTTTTATTTTATATGTGTTAGGGTTTTGCCTGCATGTTTATAGATGCACCATATGTGTGCCTCATGGAGCTCAGAAAAAGGCGTCAGAAGCCCTGGAACTGGAGTTAGAAACAGCTGTGAGGCACCATGTGGGTGCTGGGAATTGAACCTGGGTCCTCTGGAACTGCAGACAGGGCTCTCAACCACTGAGCCGTCTCTGCAGCTCCATCCGTTTAGTCTCAGTAGTTTAGGAGTATTTGTTCAGTAGCAGCTGGTAAGCATTTTTGAAAGTCCAGAGAGTAACTGGAATGTGTTAAACACATGTTTGACATCATCAGAGAACAAATATAATAGTTTTTTTAAAGCCCAGTATTTAAATCAAAGTGTGATGATGACTTCTGGGTAGATGGGTGGGATTGACTGTGGGACAAGACAGATGGGGGCCTGCATGCCTGCTGGTGGTGGTGGGGCGCTCTAGTGATTTGGGGTCGCTCCCACTTGCTGGCACCTTCCCACCATGGAGGACCAAAGGCTGTCAGGTGCAGGGTCCTTGCTGCCTATGGGCTTCCATCAGCATGCTGGCAATAGTCCTGATTGGTCCAGTTGACGTGTGGATGAATCCTCAGGCTTCATCCAGATTCTGGCCTCTCCTTCGTAAAAGGAGCAAGGATGAGTGGCTTCTTGCTGGGATGTGATGAGTTTTTAGGAATGCCTGTGCACTCCATGCTGTAGGCACTGAATAGTGAGTTGCCTTTGCATTGTGTTACACTAGTGTTGCCCTTGGCAGAATCTGATAGTATACAGCTTAGCCTGTCTGTCCTCCAGCTTACAGCCTGCCCTGAGATGGACTGTTAAGATGATCTGACATGATAAGCCTCGAGGTCAGAGGCACCGAGGCAGCCGCGTGGGTCCCAGAAGCAAGCACAAGACAGATAGAGCAGACATCGGACCCAGACACTGGGGTGGGCAGTTGTCACTGTGGATTTACTGAGGACCTTGGGTTGGTGCGGAAGTGACTGAGCTTTCCCTGTGGGTGATAGGACGTTGGCTCATTTTCTGTGATGGGTATAAGGCAGCAAGTGTCCAATAGAACCCTGAGCAAGGGACAGAGATGGCTGGATTTCACTGTGCTGTGAACATGCTGTTGGTGCCTTGGTACAGCTGTAAACATCTGCTCTTTCAGCCGGGTGTTGGTGGCGCACGCCTTTAATCCCAGCACTCGGGAGGCAGAGGCAGATGGATCTTTGTGAGTTGAAGGCCAGGCTCTAGAGCAATACAGAGAAACCCTGTCTTGAAAGACAAAAACAAACAAACAACAACAACAAAAACAAAACCCCATCTGCTCTTTCATACTGCTTCTCAGATTGGGAATGCCAGATTTAGGGGACCAAGTCGTTGCAGTAGGCTTCTTCTCAGAGACTGTCACCGAAGCCCTGGCTGAGGTTGGAATCTGCTGTCACTGAGACATCACACTCATGGAGTTGGCAGCCTGACTGGCCAAGTGTTGGATGTTGGCTGGTGGCTTCAGTTTCTTTCCAAACTGGCAGTGTTGCTGAAGCGGCCCCGTAAAGTGGCAGGAGCCACACAGCATCCCCTTTGCCATGACATCTGTGATTTATTGTTCATGGGGCTGTCTGTCATGTGACTGGTCTAGTCGTCAGCTGCTCCTGGGGTGTGTGCTGTCCCTTCATATCTTAGTACTTTCTGCCTGCTGTCCTCTGCCTGGGTTGGCTTCTGTCTGGGTTTTTAAGCTCTCATGGGAGTCCTGTTGCTATCCAGTGGAAATCTGCCTTGATTTCGAAATCCCTGGTCACAATTATGTGTTGTGCTGATTAGAAGATGAAGAATCAATATTTGTGGTATATATTCTAGCAGACCTCAAAAGCTTGGGCAGACAGTGAAAATCTAGATCATACACATACACAGATAAAAACCTAAATAGGTTGTTAACTCCTGAGGTTCATAAACTCCTAGGCCCTGGGCAAACTGATCTGTTTCAGCCTTACGTAACCCTCTGTGAACCTTTGGGGTTAAGTATTGACCTGAAGGCAGAGTGGACAGCTTTCTGAGTTCCTGGGCTTACAATACCAAGCTGAGATCTGGTCCCCATCTCTGATCTCTGCAGCCTTGCTGTCTGGGCTCTGCACACTTATGCTGGGGGCATCACTTTGTAGTTTGAAAGCAGGGCCCATGAAGGGTTCCATTTGATATTGATCGTTCTATGAGGAGGGCCAGGGGTCCAGAGAGGTCCTAGGATTTCCCTGGGGCAGCTCTGCTGAAGGGGTAGAGCCCCGACAGAAAGGCCCAGGCAGGTGTCATGGAGGATGCGCTGAGGCCTCTGTGATTCTCCCAGGGTTGGCTGTTGAGGGCTGATGTGCAGTTGCTTCGTTTCCCACTGTCCTCCTCCGCCCTCTCTCCCATGCCTGTCACCACCCTGCACCATGCTGCTGCTTCTGGCCTTTCATTCCTTAAGGCCCAGCTGCGGCCTGCCTCTGGGCCAGAGGGGAGGGCCTGTGAAATCCACATTGGTTCCAGCACCCCGTCTGCATTGTTGGGGCCTCCTATGACACAGGACCCGCTCTGCTGACATAATGGCCCCTGTTGAAGGACTCTTCTGTAAGAATTTAGACATGAATTTATTCTGACAGTGCCCGCTTCGGTCTCCCGGAAGTGGAAACCTGTGGAGACCAAATGACCTCGTGGCTTTCTCTCTCCTGGGAGGGCTCTGATCAGATGCCTGGGGCTTTGTTCTTTCTCTCCCTCCTGCCCCCCTTTTCCTTTCCCCGGGGATAAATTATAACGTGTGTGTGTGTGTGTGCGCGCGCGCGCGTGCGCGTGTATGTAGAGCGTTTTGTTCCCCAAGTCCTACTTGCCTTCTTTAGGTCTCCAGCTTCACTGGATGAAGCCTTTTGAAAAGCCAGTCTACTTAGACCCCACTCCTGATACATGTCTGCCTGGGCTGCCTGAACTTTTGCTGTTTTTCTTCTGTCTTCTGTTCTGGGAATTGAATCAAGTCCAAGTCCTGGTACATGCCAAGCCCGTGCTCAAGCACATAGCTATATAGCTCAGTTCTTAGGTCTCACTTTTGTCTCGGTCTGCATTCTCGATGTACAGCCACCTCTTGTCAGGGAGAGACCTCCCTCCCAAACCTTCCTGCTAAACTTTCTCAAGGAGGAGGCCTGGCAGGGGCCACCTAAGATTGCTTGACTAACAGACATTCTTTCTCTTTCTTCCAGCCTGCAAATATTCCTGCCACAAGAAATGTGAAGCCCAGGTAAGCGTTCCAGGGCATTCCCGTGGGACTTCTTTGAGCTGGCCTTGGCTGACTGATATGCGGGGGGGGGTGTCCCTGGACCACAGCCTCAGAAAGAAGCTGGGAGCTGGTGGAGACTGCTGAGTGCGGCGTACGACTTTCATCTCAAGAACAAACTGAGAGCTTTGAAACCCGTGTTTTTAATTATAGAAAATAATTCTGAAGAATCTGATTTCAGATAAGACCTCAGTCATCCTTCTTTGGCTGCGCCACCAGCTCCTTCCCCGTGATGAGTGATCCCCACTTTCTCTGTGCGGTGGCATCCATTCGTGGGGCAGAGGTGTGGAAACAGAGCAAACGGTTAGCCTGGAGGAACCTGCTGGCTAACTTTGCGGGTAGTTAGTTGTTCACCGTGGTTAGGAAAAATCTGGGCAGCTTGGAGTAGGGTTCATTAGGCCTAGTGTGTGTGTCCCCAGAGTGCTGAAGAGCCAGGTGGTCCTCTGGTTGCTGTGGACTGACTGCCTCGCCTGTGATGAGCAGGCAAGGCATTGAGGGGCGGGGTGGGGTGGGGGTGGGGGGCTTAGAAATGAAGGTGCCGAGGATGTAGCCTATTGTGCTTTTCCTTCTTGGTGGCCACAGCTCTGAATTTCCTAGCTTTGAGGTTGGTCTTCAGTGTGACTACAGCCTTCCGGAACCTTACCGACTGTCAGACTGTCAGGGGTCTTGGTGAGCTGTCCCTCTGGATGAGGGAGATGGTCTGTGCTGATGTTGTAGAGCTCATGGGTCAGGCTGTTCCCACATCTCCACCCTGTCTTCAGTCTCTGAACTGGAGGCTGTGTTAGGGTACCATGAGCCACACGGCTTCACATGTATGTTTTCTGTGTGGGGACCAGGAAGGGAAGAGTTCCTCTACACAGAAACACACACTTATACATACAAAAATACATGTGTATACACCCCATGTCTTAGGATTTTATGCCGTGGAGAGACACCATGACCACAGCAACTCTTATTGAGAAAACATTTAACTGGGGCTGGCTTACAGTTCAGAGGTTCAGTCCACATCATCATGGTGAGAAGCATGGCGGTGTGCAGGCAGACATGGTGGTGGAGAGGTAGCTGAGAGTTCCGCACCTTTATCCAAAGCAACAGGAAGTGCACCATCTTGAGCTTCAGAGATCTCAAAGCCCGCCCCTAGTGACACCTCTTCCAACAAGGCCGCCTCTACTCCAGCAAGGCCACACCTCCTAATAGTTCCACTTCCCATTGGGCAAGTGTTCAAATACTTGAGTCTGTGGGGGTCATACCTATTAAGACCACCACACCCCACATGAGTACACTCATTTTGTTCATATGTACATTCTTGTGTACTCAGTCTTCCACGTGCACACACACACACAGGCGCGCACACACATACATACACAGGCGCACACACTACACACACACAAGCACCCCCACAGAGGTGGGAAATGAATGGTCTTAGACCTAGTGCTCTTTCCAGAGATAGATGACTTGTCTTTTAAGTGCTCTTCTGGGCAGCCTTAGAACATGCAGAAAGCAGAGAGGCTTGCTCAGTGCTGCTGCTATATGCCTTAACTAGCTTAAAACTGGTACTCTCGACCCTCTTCACCCTCTGCCTCTTTCTTGAAGTCACTCCAAAGCTTTTTCCGAGGCTGGCACAGGGCATCTCTGCCTGCCCCCCGGCCCCCCCCCAGCTCTGTCCTTTTCCTCCTGGTGCCAGCCTGTCTTGGTCACACATCCTTGGGTGGAACTGATTTCAACCCTGGCTTATTTTCACCTGCCTTCTGTGTACTGCCCACTTTTAGTCCAAGGGATTGGGCCGCAGTGCTGCTGGGAGTTGGGAATGCCGTGCCGCGTGGGGACTTTCCGTTTGGGGTGTATCCGGCTTGTAGAGGTTCCATCCCCGTGCAGGGACTCCATGTGCCTTTCCCAGTGCTTTCGGTGGCCCTTGTTCCCATAGCGTGTGTCTTGTCGCAAAGGTCTGCGTGCTTGTCTTGTCACCCGATCCGTCCCCTGACTGTATTCCCAGGCTGGTCACCCCTGACCTGAGCTGCAGAAATGACCTGTGCCTTTCCTTCCATTTCTGCCTACTTAGGATTCCTTGGTTCAAAGAATCATGGAGAAGCCTTAGGTATAACTGATGTGGCATTGCTCACCTCACTGGTTCGCTGTTTGCTGAGAGATGAATAGGCTTTTCCTCCTGTCAGATCCTGCCAGGGGGGAAATGTAGCCACATTCTGTATCTTTTTTTTTTTTTAGTATGTCTTTGACTAGCATGACAGAATGCCACCAGCAATCAATAACAAAGCACCTTCTCATTCCAAAGATACAGAGCTGTGGTGTCAGAGAACTGAGAACCATAAATTCCCAGGCGCCCAGCAGAGCTCAGTGGCTGGGAAGCGTTGCTTTCAGGAACTGGAATGCGGTTGCTCCCACATTAGTGCTGTGAGTTCTGGGTTTGTGTGTCATAGATCTCACTCACATGGCTTTTTGGGTCTTTACTGCTGTGTGTGTTTGGATCACTGTGCTGTCTCCCTGAATGCAGCTTAGGAAAACTGGAAAAGCTTGCTGAATGTTTAGACTTGAGTCCCATCTTAGACCTTGTCTGTCTTTTACTGACAGGGTGACATGTGCCCCATGTACCCTCCTCATTGGTGTTCCTGAGGGTGAGAGCTAGGAATGGTCCCTGCAACACGGGGTTGGGTGTGATGGCGTTTGCTCCGTGATCATTACTCTGTTTGGTTAATGCCACCATTTTAGGTGTCTGTCCATGCCTGTGGTTGTTCCTTTAGTGCTGAGGACATGGGGAGATGGTTCTATAAAGAGTATTGAGTCACAGTAGTGACACTGAGACACAGTGAGGAGACATAGAAGCCCAAGCATGGCAGATGAGGTTACTGTCTTCCTGAGCTACTAGATAGCGTGGCCCTCAGGTGGGGCCGTGAGGCTCAGTGGGCAAATGAAGGGAGAGACCTGGCCTTTGGATCTCCTTGTGGTTTGGGGGCTGAAAGTAGGTCAGTCCGCTTGCTGTGGACTGAATGTCTGTGTCTCTAGATTCATGTGTTAAAATGAAACCCTGTATGTGATGGGAGGTTATTAGGTATTCTCGGGTGGGGCCTTATAATTGATGGGCTTACTGCCCTTATCACAGAGGCACAGGAGATTTTTCTTCCTTTTCCATCAAATAGAGACCGCAGGAAGGCATGATTCGGGATTCAGAAAGCAGATCCCCACCTAGCACTAAACCTGTTAGCACTTCGATGTTGGAGCACCCAGCCTTTAGAATTGTGAACCATCATCGCTTCTTGGCCTTATGGCTAAGGTCAAGTGTAGAATGTGAACCATAAATTCCTACCATTGAAGCTACCGAGTTTGAAGTGGGTTTTAGTTTTTGTTTGTTTGCTGTTTTTAAGGCAGGTTGGATGGACTGAGGTAGGTCTGTCTGAGCGACAGTTTCCTCATGTATGGAACAGATTAACAGTACCACTTAAGTGACATACACCGGTGGCCTTCCTGTAGACACTGACTGGGATAATGCTGTGTGTGAGCCCGAGGGAAGACAAGGAGACTGTGAAATCTCTTGAGGGTTTGGGATCTCACTGTTCTGCTCCCTGGGTGCTGACCTGATTCATTGCAGCCCCTGAGCCGTTTGGGCCTCATGACTTGGTTTTTCCCTGCCGTCAGTTGACTCATTAGCATGAGGGGGAAGGGAAGGAGAAGTAAGGTTTTAGCATAGCAGATGTTGGCCAAGAGAAAAGAAGAGGGGCTGGGATTGTCCCTGTGAAATGCACAAGAACCCATCTTGTCTTTGCAGCTTGAGATGCCATGCACATTGGCTCTTTTGACATCTGTCCATGCCTTGACATACTTTAGGATCCTGGATCGTCAATGCTCCCCCCAAGGAGACTGGACACAAGTTAACTGAACTGGAGCACACCTGCAACAGCACTGAGCAGCCGTCAGGTCTTGGCATTCAGCATCTGCTTTAGTCCATGAAGGACCAATCTCCAGTACCAGGTCTCCATGGTACCCCTCAGTCTCTAGGCTCATCCTCAACCTTGCCTGCCTGGCTTCAAGCTCCATTCTCTCGGTGATGCATCCCAGATGCCCAGTCCTCTACAGAGACCATGGCAGGGCTAGCATGTGTCTCTTCCTGTTGATCTTTAGCATCATACACAGGACTGAGTTGTTGCAGACACGGATTTCTGTGAGGGCCAGGTGATGTTCTGAGGTACACAAGAAGCCAGTGTGAGTTCTTGCTTTGCTGCAGGTTAAGCCCCCTGTTATGGATGTCCCTGCTCTGTCTCATTGTCTTGTGTCCAGACTTTACCATCTCTCAGGCCCCAGAGCACCAGGCAGCTCTACTGTGATAGAAACACTGTGGTAGGATGGCTACACCATGAACATTTGGGAAAGAATGAACTTGACAGTGCTTGCTTAGGTTTCAGCACTGAAACTGAGGGCGTTCCCTAATTCTCTACCCCTAAGGAGTGGAAGTGGTGGACCCAGATATTTCCCTAGGAAAATGAGCCATTTCACTTAGGGAGAAACAAAACAGCAAAGATCAAACAAAACATTTTCCATTAAAACAGTAAAATCAAAAGCCACACTGCTGTGAGCTGGGCTCTTGTTCTGTCTATGTGTTTGCCAGGCTCCTGGTATAGTTTCCGAGGGTCGGTGTCTATCTGAAGGTGGGCATTTATAGGCCAACAGAGTGTTGTAGGAGTGACGCGAGACACAGTAATGTCCCTCATGACACTGACTTGTGGGACATGCGCAGGAAGAGTGTAAGTGAGTCCGTGCTCCCCAGAGATGACAGTTAAGAGCCAAGAAGCCTGCAGGCATGGCTGTTTCCTTGTCGCGTGATACCCAGGACTTCTGTTCTGGGAGGTGGCAGCTTCAGGACCAAGTGATGGCACTTCCCTGAGAGGTGGTCCATGTTACTAGCTCAGCATTGACCCCTGTGCTCTTCCGCTTGACCCCCCACCATTGGTCCTAAC